GGAAGGAACGGGGGGGGGTACGTAGGAAGGGGGGGAAGCGTGTCGCCGAGAGTGCTCAAGAGATGGCGCTCTGCTCGATCGAGGCCACGCTTCCTCCTCACCCTACGTACCACCCTGATCCTCCCCACCGGCTCCCCCCTGCCCGAACTCCCCCCGCGATTGCCAACAAAGTGTTCGCTGTCTCTCGTTCTCGAAGTACCTCTCTCTCGCACTCAAGGGGCCGTGAGTTAGATACAGCCTACACAATTACTTTCACTCGCGAGGAAGAGCGACTGACGCGCTCGGCGTATCCGCGATGACTGACCGTTCTACGGCGCGGCTAAGTTATTAAACCCTCTTCTATATTTTCCCGCGCGAAGCGTTTTTCCCGCGCGAAGCGTTTCTCCCATCGCGACTTGACCTTGACGCGACTCGTTCCTAAGAGGGGGGCGACGACAATATCTCGCGCTGCTTTTAGCGCGCAATCCGCTATCGCGATTCTTAAGGGATGCGCGTTGCTTCCAGCGCGCGATCCGCGAGCGGATGCCGGGTATCCGGCGCCGAGGGAGACGGAGGATTATCGGGGGGCAGTCGAAAGGAGAGAGGAACTGTTAGCAGTGATACAAGCGCGCTTATCGCGTATCGGAGCGAGTTTTTTTTCGTTTTTCGGCGATACGAGCGCGCTTATCGCGTTTCGGGGCCAGTTGTTTTTTGTTCCTTGGCGATGATGCGCTTCCGGTGACGAGACGCGTCCGAGAGCAAATATCCAGCTTAGTTAATCGGAGCGCGTTATCGCCATTTTTTTCGTTATAAAAGGATGGCGCGACGATCTCGAGATATTAGTACGTTCGAGAATATTCGCGGCGTGATGAAGCGCGCACCGAGCGCCTTATCGAGACTAGCTGGAAAAGTGGTGAATATTCGAATTAGAAGTATCGAGGATATACAGAATTTGGAAATACCGAATTGTTTGAAGAAGGAACTAAGCGAATGTTATATAGAGGACTGTCTGTACTGTAAAGAAAAGATCAGCTTCGCGGAAGAGTTCGTGCGAGAGGCGAGCGAGGCGCGATTCGACGAGCCTTTCTCGAATGTCGGAGCCGATGGCTATTTGCTTTATCGCAATTGGAAACGGCGATACGGAATTCCAAACTTTTCGTGGGAGGTGAATCACGTCGTGCATTGCTTCTATACATTCGGTTGCCAATTCGAGAACGGAAATTATTTCGAGGAAGATGTGAGATATTGCGTGGAATGCGCGCATAGATCGAGCTTCTTGAGAAGCGTATCGACTCATATGAAAAAATCGTTGTATAGCGAGAGAGTGCCCGCCTGCGATCTTATCGACGAAGTCTTCGACGTGTCGAATAATTAGTGCGGCGGCTGCGCGACGAGAGCTTTGTTCTACATCGAGGGTTACGACGAGGAAGAGACGTGGTTTATCAATAAAAGATCTTGGCTTTCGTTAAACGACAAGTAATGAATCGAGAAACGATGGAGGAGCGCGATCTTCTTAATAGCGCGCGGGACGTCGCGACGGTGGACGCGTATCGCGCGTGGGCGAGACGGTGCGACGAGTGTCTCGAGTTTCTGCGGGACGGGTCTCGAGGCGAGCGCCGGGGGAGATCCACCGGAGCGATCAATTCTCTGATCCCTCGAACCGTTCGATTGACGGGCGCAAGAGACGATCTGCGTTGACGTTTCGAACGCGTGGGAGGCGGCGTAGAGAGGCGCGAAGGATTCTCGTGGTTTGACATGGAGACAGCTTTCTCTAGACGCATTTTAACCGGCGCGGTTATCAACTTCGATTATATCGAAGCTTCGCGATTTCTCGAAGATACTAGAGATACCGTGCTCGATAGAGTACGCGATGCTATAGATGAACATAACAGTGTTAAGGTCAATACCGTGTTTATCGGTGAGTTCGTCTCAGGTGACAAGATTGATATTAAAACTATCGCTACTAAGAATTATCCGCTTCTATTTCTTTCCGATTTGCAAGAGTGGTATGGGAAGCAGAGTGGTGTGGTCGACGCTACTTTAGCTTCGCTGAAGGAGTTTTAAGAGCGCGATAACGGATGGGCGTTATCGCGAATTCTAAATTTAACGGTGAATGTGAATAAATATAATCCTATGCACGCTGGATGCCATGTCCAGATACCGCGAGAGATCGCGTTGAAGAAAGCGGTGATTAACGTGCGATCTACGGATAACGCGTGTTTCGCGTGGGCGATAGTCGCCGCTTTATATCCGGTTGAGAAAAACACGGAGAGAAGCTCGCGGTATCCTCACTACTCGACGGTGCTGAATCTGGAGGGTATCGAGTTTCCCATGAGTTTAAATGGAATTACTAGATTCGAGCGTATTAACAACATATCTATTAATGTGTATACCGTTCGAGATAAGAAGGACGGGAAAAGTAGCTGCCGTATCGTTCCTCTGCGTCTCACTTGTAATAAGAAGGACAGACACGTTAATTTGCTGTATCTGAGCGATACGACGCAACGAGATAATACGGCGCATTTCGCATGGATTAAGAATTTGTCTCGACTCATCGGATCGCAACTGAGCAATAGGCAACATAAAGCGCATATATGCGATCGGTGAGTACGAATTAAAAAATTTGTCGCGTAGTGTGGATAATATACACGATTTAAAAAATGTGTTTTATGTCGCAGATGCATGCATTATTTTCGAACGAGCGATAAATTATCGGCTCACAGCGCGGACTGTGGAAGGATGAACGAGTGCGCTATAGTTCTTCCTACTGAAGATGACAAATGGTTAGAGTTTCGCAATTACTGTAGAAAGGAGAGACTTCCATTCGTGGTGTATGCCGATCTCGAATGCGTGCTGGAGAAGAAAGAGGAGAAGAGAACACCGAATACATCTATCATTCAGCATCACAAAGTCTATAGCGCTGGATATTACGCGCGATACGCGTTCGACGATGCTGGTTCGACTTACAAAGCCTATCGCAGCGAAGATTGCGTATCGTGGTTCGTTAAAGAACTGTACGATCTAGCGCTTCGCGCGAAGACTATTCTCGACACCGATGCGCCTATGACGGATCTTACAGCGGACGAATGGGAGAGATTCATGAGCGCGACGCACTGTCGCGTATGCGAGAGGCCGTTCGAATCGGAAGACGCTCGCGTGCGCGATCACTGTCATCTAACCGGGCAGTATAGAGGTCCGGCGCATTCGAATTGTAATGTAAATTATAAGGAGACTTACGTAATTCCCGTATTCTTTCACAATTTATCGGGCTACGACGCGTATTTCATCATTAATGATGTGGCTAATGCTTTTCCCGGCAGCGTCGAACTGTTGCCGCTAACGAAGGAAACGTACATCTCTTTTACGAAGAACGTCGAGGATGCGTCGAACGAGAGATGGTTCGGGAGACGCCTGAAATTGCGCTTCGTGGATTCTTTCCAGTTTCTAAGGGCGAGTCTCGAAAAATTGGCGTCGTATCTCGACAAAAGCAAGCTGAGGATCGCGCGTTCGGAATTTTTCGATCTCGACGACGCTGATTTCGAGCTTCTCGCGCAAAAAGGCGTGTTTCCATATGAGTACGTCGACGACGTCGATAAATTGCTGGAGACTCATCTACCACCGCGCGAGGCTTTCCACAGTTTGTTGACCAGTGACGCGATATCCGAGAGCGATTACGCGCGCGCGATAAGAGTCTGAGAGCGATTTCACGTCGAAACGTTGGGCGACTATAGTGATTTGTATTTAAAAACCGACGTTCTTTTATTGGCCGATACTTACGATCCTTCGGAACCATCGTCTTATCTCATGTACTTTGATATAAATAATTTATACGGATGGGCGATGTGTCAATCGTTACCTTACGAAGATTTTCGATGGGTCGACGACGTCGCGAGCGTCGACTTAATGTCCATGACATCGAACTCGCCTATCGATTACATTTTAGAGGTCGACCTTGCGTATCCATCCAACCTTCACGATTCTCACGCGGATTTGCCGTTCTGCCCGACGCGCAATAAGCCGCCCGGAAAACGTGACGAGAAACTTCTCGTCACGCTGTACGATAAGAGTCGTTACGTGACGTATTATCGCAATTTGCAGCAGTGCGTTAGACACGGATTACGCGTTACGAGGATACACAGAATATTACAATTCACGCAATCCCAATGGCTGCGCGGATACATCGAACTGAACACGCGACTACGAATTATTGCGAAAAACGAGTTCGAGAAAAATCTTTACAAATTGATGAATAACGCCGTGTTTGGTAAGACCATGGAGAATGTGCGCAATCACTCGGATGTCCGACTCGTGACTCGATGGGACGGGCGATACGGCGCGGAGGCGATGATCGCGAAGCCGAACTTTCGCAGCAGAAGCGTCTTCGCGGAGAATCTCGTAGCCGTGGAATTGCGCAAACTCGAGAGTAAGTTCAACAAACCGGTTTACGTGGGTATGTGTATTCTCGATGTGTTTAAGATTCGTTTGTACGAATTTCTCTACGAGTATATGCTACCGTTGTATCGAGATAAATGTGAAATAATGTATACCGATACGGAAGCCTCTTTTATCGCATCGAGTGCGAGGATGTGTACGAGGATATGAAGCGCGACATCGACAGATTCGATACGAGCGATTACTCGATAGACAACGCGTATGGTATGCCTCGCTAATAAAAAAATATCTGGTGCGATGAAAGACGAGAACGCCGACGCGATTATGACGGAATTCGTCGGGCTCAGAGCGAAGATGTACGCGCTACGAGTCGACGGTAGAAACGATACAAAAAGAATTAAAGGTGTTAAGAGCGGCGTCGTCGCGAGAACGATAACGTTCGAAAATTATGCGCGCTGTCTTCGACGAAGGATCGAGATGAGGCGCGAACAGTCTTGCATAATGTCCAAGTTACACGAGGTGTATACGGCGTCGGAATCGAAGGTCGCGCTCAGTCCGCACGACGATAAACGATACGTGATATCCGAAACTACGGATACTTTACCGTGGGGGCATTATAGAATACCGCGGGAAGAAGCGAGGAAAACATCGTATATCGAGAATGTAATAAATATTATTTGCGTTTAATATAGTTTATTTTAATATAGTTTGCGGAGGTTTTTTCGAATATTTTCGCATTATAAAAAATCGTGGAAAATCTTCATTCTGTCCAATGTGCGGCAAATCTTCACACAACTTATGCAAGCTACTCCAACCAAGATTTTTATCGTGGTTAGAGTAGTTTGCCAAATTTGCATCAAGATTTGTTGCAAATAAAACAGAGCGGACATTTTCACGATCTTTTTATTATGTTCTCGGAAGCATTATATATCGAGCAACGTGAAAAAAGGTTAACGCGAGATACGACGATCGCGTAGCGACGCGATGAAGAATTCATATAGAGCGTGAGAGAGTTCGTATAAAGCGCGAAAGAGAAAACGCAGGACGTGGCGGCCGCGTAGCGGCGCGAGAAAGAATCTGTATGGAGGGGGAGAG